TCATTCAGTGTAAGCAATGTGTAAAGATGTTTGAAGTGTTGTGTATCTGGAATATCAAATCTCTTTTATCTTCAATTTTGTTTTTTTTTTCCTTCTCCTGAACTTGAAGTGAGAATTTTTTATAATCTGATCTTGGGAATTTTTGCAGGGAAGAGAACTAACCATGGCTGATCAGGTTCAACATCCCACTATCTATCAGAAGGTTGCTGGTCAGCTCTCCCTTCAGTCGAGGGTTGCTTCGGGATTCCGTGCTTGTGATGATGGCTTCAGGAACCCTGCACTTTACCAGAGACGTGCATCAATCAGCAATTATTCAAATGCTGTTTTTCAATACCCTGCTGTGCAATCTTGTGTTGCTACAACTGATCTTTCTAGGGTGGCCACTACTGCCTCCCCCATTTTTGTTGCGGCCCCTGCTGAGAAAGGAAACTTTATGCTTGACTTTCTCATGGGTGGTGTCTCTGCCGCTGTATCCAAGACAGCCGCTGCCCCAATTGAACGTGTCAAGCTCTTGATCCAAAACCAGGATGAGATGATTAAAGCTGGACGTCTGTCTGAGCCATACAAGGGTATTGGTGATTGTTTCAAGCGTACAATCCAAGATGAGGGTTTTGGTTCATTGTGGAGAGGAAACACTGCCAATGTCATCCGTTATTTCCCCACTCAAGTGAGTATTTTGCTTCCTTTGGCTGATTATATCTCTCCTTTTTCTCAATTTTGTGTTGTGCTAATTGTTTTATGAAATTTTATTCCAGGCATTGAACTTTGCTTTCAAGGATTACTTCAAGAGACTTTTCAACTTCAAGAAAGATAAGGATGGTTACTGGAAATGGTTTGCCGGTAACCTGGCATCAGGTGGTGCAGCTGGAGCTTCATCCCTTCTTTTCGTTTACTCTCTTGACTATGCTCGAACCCGATTGGCAAACGATGCCAAAGCTGCCAAGAAAGGTGGTGGTGGAAGGCAATTCAATGGACTGGTTGATGTTTACAGGAAGACATTGCAGTCTGATGGTATTGCTGGTCTTTACCGTGGATTTAACATTTCTTGTGTTGGTATCATTGTGTACCGTGGTTTATACTTCGGTATGTACGATTCTCTGAAGCCCGTTCTCTTGACCGGAAAGTTGCAGGTCAGTTTGCTTATGATTTCATGAGTTGTTTTGGGTATGATTTGTCCATAGAAAAGTTGCAGGATGTCTGTGTTTAGATGTAGTACTTATCATTTACTCCCGTTTGTTTGGCTATACAGGATAGCTTCTTCGCTAGTTTTGCCCTTGGTTGGTTGATCACCAACGGTGCTGGCCTTGCGTCCTACCCAATTGACACTGTCCGTAGAAGAATGATGATGACATCTGGTGAAGCCGTGAAGTACAAGAGCTCAATGGATGCCTTCTCTCAGATCTTGAAGAACGAAGGTGCCAAGTCTCTGTTCAAGGGTGCCGGAGCTAACATTCTCCGTGCTGTTGCTGGTGCTGGTGTGCTCGCCGGTTACGACAAGTTGCAGGTGATCGTGTTCGGAAAGAAATACGGATCGGGCGGTGCTTAACTCAAGCGGGGTAACATAGCCTCAATCACAGCTACTCCAGTTTTTAGAAGTTGATGAAACATCTCTCGAAAGAGTTTGGTGGACTTTGGTCCGGCGGTTTTTATGTTTACCTCAAATAATATTATTTAGTTGTTGGAGGGAGGGAGTTGTTCTCCTAAACCCATTTGTGAGATTGGAATGAATTTTTGTAGAACCTGTTTGATTAGTGTGGCGAACAGTACCACTCATTGTCTTGTTTTCGAAGTGTTCTGATTCAAATGAATTAAACCCATATTTTATTACGTTGTTTATCATTTCAATTGGCAGGGGTGTTTAGTGACCTCTCTTGGGGTAATTGGGATAGTGTGTAATGATCCAGATCCATGGTTCAGATATTATCTTCTTTGGATTTTCTCTTTTGAGTTTTTCCTTATGAATTTAAAATGCTCCACACCTTATAAATAGTGTTTTGTTCTTTATTAGGTATGTGAGAAGTTTCGTCAATGCCCAGTCTTTTTGGTTTTTGAAGAGTTGAAGTCAACAAAAGCAAATTGATATTAATGATGAATTTGTATACGTTTTTTCATGGGATAGTTGAGTACTTCAAATTGCTCATTGCCTTGTTTTTGTTGTCATTATGGCTTAATTATACCCTCAGAATATTCACCATCTACCCAAATTCAAGAAATAAAAAACTTTTTAAAAAATACATTAATGTCGGAATATTAATTATCATATTACATGAAATTATCTTGCTAGTCTTTTAATAATTATTATCCTAAACCTCAATCACAGATATTTAGGTAGAATTTAATGATCTTTTTTTTATGATAATTTAAATTATTTTTAAAAATTTATATTTAAACTTTGAATTAAAAAATTAGAAAATTTAAATCCTATCTAAGAGTTTTTGTAAATAAAATGGGATTAGACAAAAACATTTTTTTTCTAAAATGTTTTAGTTTTTGTATTTTTTAAAATGTTTTATTTACCCTCTCTAAATTGTTTTACTTTCTTGACCTAATGATAAAAGTTACAAATATGTTTGTGACTTAATATGGTAAGAGTTACAAATATTTTTCTTTACCTAATGGTAAAATAATGTGGTAAGATATGTTTGTGACTTAATGTGGTAAGAGTTACAGATATTTTTCTTTACCTAATGGTAAAATAATGTGGTAAGAGTTACAAATATTTTCTGGTAAAATAATGTGGTAAGAGTTACAAATATTTTCTTGACCTAATGGTAAAAGTTACAAATATGTTTGTGACTCAGGTAAGACCTGATGGTAAAAGTTACAAATATGTTTGTGACTTAATGGCATGAGTTACAAATAACCAATCACTAATTTTAGCAACAGTGAATCATGTTACGAATTATGTAAAAATAATTTTAGAAAAAATTATATTAGATATAGTCGATAGTTTTTTTTTTATTTAAACTCAGGGAAGTACTTTATTGAGTATTAATACTCACCTATCCGTGAATGATCAGTGATGGTTTATGTATTTAACCTCAATCGGGAGTACCTTAATTGATTATTAGTACTCGTGGCCATGAAATGATTAGGGCATAGTAATTTAATTTGTAGTCTAAAAATTTCAAAATTAATAAAAAAAAATATATGGTACAAAAATTTTAATTATAGTAAACATGAATTAGTATATTTTGTTTTTATTTAAAAAAAATATAATTTAGTTTTTTATTGCATTAAAAAGATTCAAAACTTATCTTAATAAAATATAAATTTTGGATGAAAAATAAATCTCCAACAAAAACATAATAATTTTTTTAGGGATAATCTCCATTTTTATAAGATAATTTGAATTAAAAAAAATAAAAAAATCACAAAATATTTTAATATTTTAATTTTAAAAATAAAATTTAAATATTATAATCCCCTAAATCTACGTGACAAGCCTATGAATTTATTTTTCTTATTTAATCGAGGAACTGGTTAAATGGACATTTCACATTTCGGTTTTAGGCCTATTGGGTTTTTCGGAGTACAACCCGGCCCGGCCCAATGGCCCATTTTAAACCTCCAATCAAATAAAATGCCTCTACTATATATATTGTTCTGTCTGTTCTCCAACGCTATTTTATAGGCGGCTCCTTTTTCCAACAATCCCTCGCTGCCACTAGCTAAGGTATTTCCCATTTCTTCCTTCTCTCTCCCTTTTACTTTCAGATCCGCCTTACACTTTCCATCTCGTTTCACCCTTCTGTTCTATATATCTATCTGTTCATGTTACATCACTTTGTGTACAGATTCGTAGGTAAATAGGTTTTTATATTTTGTGAGATCTCTTTGTTCCCGCTTTCTGGGATTGTGTTTTCATGGCTTGGATTTGCTGCTCCCGTGTTGTTGTTGTTGTTCTTGTTAGATTCAGATTTCATTAGTTTCCTGTTGTTTTGATTTGATCTGCTGTGATTCGGTTGAATGTTAGGGTGAAATTCTGCTTTGCGAGTTGATGGATGGGATGCTGGAGTGGTTTGATTTTTTTGACCTTTGTTAGTTTTGTTTTGTATCTTTTTAACTTTTTGGCCTTCTCCCCTTATCTGTGTCAATTTTGTTAGCTTAATCCGAAGGTTTATGATCCTAATATATTTGGATCTGAATCTGGCGCCTGTTTCTAAAATGTTATTGTCTTTTTAGCGATTTTGATGCTTTATATATTTCATCAAGTGATTTGCAGTGACATGGAATATGTGTTACGCCTGATTTCTTTGAACTCTTTACTGGGGTTTTGTTATTAGATTCAATTTCCTTGTAGTCGTTTTATGGTTGTTCTGTTATAGTATCGTTAGTTTTGTGTAAAGATGTTTGACATGTTGACTCTGGAACATCTGAAACTCTCCTTTAGCTTTATTTTATTCTTTGTACAACTGGAGTATAACTACTGCATTTTTTGTTGTAAAGTCTTGTCTCTTTCACCTTTAATATTAGATGTTTTTTTTTTCCCTTCATTTGAATACGCAATGAGGATTTTTCATCGTCTTATTGGGATGTTGGGATTTTTTGCAGGGAAGAACTAACCATGGCTGATCAGGTTCAACATCCCACCATCTATCAGAAGGTTGCTGGTCAGCTCTCCCTTCAGTCGAGGGTTGCTTCGGGATTCCGTGCTTGTGATGATGGCTTCAGGAACCCTGCACTTTACCAGAGACGTGCATCAATCAGCAATTATTCAAATGCTGCTTTTCAATACCCTGCTGTGCAATCCTGTGTTGCTACCACTGATCTTTCTAGGGTTGCCACAACTGCCTCCCCCATTTTTGTTGCGGCCCCTGCCGAGAAAGGAAACTTTATGCTTGACTTTCTCATGGGTGGTGTCTCTGCCGCTGTATCCAAGACAGCCGCTGCCCCAATTGAACGTGTCAAGCTCTTGATTCAAAACCAGGACGAGATGATTAAAGCTGGACGTCTATCTGAGCCATACAAGGGTATTGGTGATTGTTTCAAGCGTACAATCCAAGATGAGGGTTTTGGTTCATTGTGGAGAGGAAACACTGCCAATGTCATCCGTTATTTCCCCACTCAAGTTAGTATTTTTCTTACCTTGGCTGATTAGATCTCTCCTTTTTCTCAATTTTGTGTTGTGCTAATTGTTTTATTCAACTTTTTCCAGGCA